CATGTGCATGTTCATGTGCATGTTCATGTGCATGTTCATGTGCATGTGCATGTTCATGTTCATGTTCATGTTCATGTTCGTGTTCATGTTCGTGTTCATGTTCATGTTCATGTGCACGTTCATGTTCATGTGCATGTTCGTGTGCATGTTCATGTTCGTGTTCATGTTCGTGTTCATGTTCATGTGCATGTTCATGTGCATGTTCATGTGCATGTTCATGTGCATGTTCATGTTCATGTTCATGTGCATGTTCATGTGCATGTTGATGTTCATGTGCATGTTCATGTTCATGTTCATGTTCGTGTTCATGTTCGTGTTCATGTTCGTGTTCATGTTCGTGTTCATGTTCGTGTTCATGTTCGTGTTCATGTTTCTGTTCATGTTCATGTTCATGTTCATGTGCATGTTCATGTGCATGTTCATGTGCATGTTCATGTGCATGTTCATATGCATGTTCATGTGTATGTTCATGTGCATGTTCGTGTTCCTGTTCATGTTCGTGTTCATGTTCATGTTCACGTTCATGTGCATGTTCCTGTGCATGTTCATGTTCATGTTCATGTGCATGTTCATGTGCATGTTCATGTGCATGTTCATGTTCATGTCCATGTTCATGTTCGTGTTCATGTTCGTGTTCATGTTCGTGTTCATGTTCGTGTTCATGTGCATGTTCGTGTTCATGTTCGTGTTCATGTTCGTGTTCATATTCGTGTTCATGTTCGTGTTCATGTTCATGTTCCTGTTCATGTTCATGTTCATGTTCATGTTCATGTGCATGTTCATGTGCATGTCCATATGCATGTTCATGTGCATGTTCGTGTTCATGTTCGTGTTCATGTTCATGTTCATCTTCATCTTCATCTTCATCTTCATCTTCATATTCACCTTCGTCTTCATATTTATCTTTTCCTTTATCCTGATCTATATCTTCATTCTTTTCTCCATTTACGTATTTACCCCCACCATTGTTATTAGGTTAGGTAGTTAAATTTTCGTTCCTCTTTTTCTTTATATTGTTTCTTTAGTGATATCATGTCATGTGTTGAAATTGGGTGTGGTGAGTTGCAGTGTGGTGGAATTGGGTGTGGGAGTTACGGTGTTATGAATTCAGGTGTGGTGAATTTAGTTGTGGTGAGCTGTGGTGTGGTGAATTAAGGTGTGGTGAGTTAAGGTGTGGTGAGAAAGTTGGGGTGTGGTGAATTAAGGTGTGGTAGATTAATGTGTGGTGAGTTAAGATGTGGTGAGAAAGTTGGGGTGTGGTGAGTTAAGGTGTGGTGAATTAAAGTGTGGTGGATTTAGGTGTGGTGAATTTAGGTGTGGGGAGTGAAGTAGTGGTGGATTTAGGTGTGGGGAGTTAAGGTGTGGTGAATTAATGTGTAGCGAACTCAGGTGGAATAAGTTTTTAAGCGGAGGTGAGATGAGTTGAGGTGAGTTAAGTTAAGTTAAGGGGTTAAGTTAAGATAAGTTATCTTTATCCTTATCTTCATATTCATCTTCATCTTCTTCCTCGTCTTGGTCTTCATCTTCTTCTTCATCTTTATCCTTTCCTTTATCCTGATCTAAATATGTCCATTATTTTCTTCATTTACATATTCACCCCCACCATTGTTATTAGGTTAGGTATTTAAATTTTCCTTCCTCTTTGTCTTTATGTTTAGGTTTCTTTACTTTTATTTTAATTTCTGTATTTATCCCTTTCTTCTTCTCCATACTCAACTTTACCTTCTTCCTTTTTTGAGTCTAATCTATTCATGTACATACATACATACATCTTATTCCTAAATTGCTGCTTAGCACGTTTCTTTAATTCACTATCAATATTAAAGCATACATTTAGGAGGCATTTCCGCCCCAACCATGTACATGTATGGCATTGGTATTGGTGTGACTTTTGAATTGATTTTTTCGCTCTATTTTAAACTAATTTGAAATTTTAAAAATTGCCTGCACATCAGCATCAAAATACCTTTCTAATGATATATAATTGTTTATACCTTAGAAGTACAGTTTAGCCGTAAAAGGGGTGTAAAGGAAACATGATTGCCTATTTATATAATTGATATTCATATACATCGGCGTAGCCAGAATGAAATTTAGGGGGGGGCTCGACCCTATTAAGCTGGTATTTCAGGGTACTATTTTATATATATATAAGGAAAATTTGAAAGTTAGGGGGAGGCTCGAGCACCCCCCTGCCCCTACCTGGCTACGCCCATGTTCATATATCCATAGATATATAAATAAATAGAAACCAATTTCATTTTTGCAGCAGGCTTGCTGACGAGCAATCTTAAACACACACACACGCACACTAGCTCTTATATCTGCAGCAATTACTGCAATACAACCAGCACTACATACACTTGCCAATTCACAACAATGCCTCGCCGCCAAGCTGCGAGTACGTTTTACATTCAAAGGAGCAGTGGTTTTGATGCAACACCACAAACGAACGAATGAACACACACCGTGAATAAAAACTGCATTGCCGCTGTTGACCACAAAATGCAAATCAAGTTTGTGGCACTGTGAGTAAGTTGTTGGAAGTTTTTTGTTTTTTTTTGGTTGTATTTATTCATAAAGACAATAGAGATAGAGAATATGACATTGCAAGCATAATAAGAATAGCTGAAAGCAGCAAGGAGAATAAATAAGTTAACCATACTCGCAAGCATTTGCTATTCATATGTAGCTGCTGCGCCGTTTGTGTTTTAGCTGTGGTAATAAAGCTTTTAAGCTAGCAGGTAAATAAATACGAGTGATATCTCAATAATTTAGATACCACATTTTATGAGGAGTGATGTGTGCTGTAGTGATGTGGTTAGCAAATGTTTAGTTGTTCTAAATAAAAAGCAGAATGTGAATTCGCTGAAGTTGAAAATGGACAAATAAAGAATTTTTATTCGTATTCGTATTCGAATTCAAATTCGCATTCGTGTTTGCATTCGAATTTGCTTTTATGTACGTATTCGTGTTCTCATTTGTATTCGTAATTGTATTTGTATTCGTATTCGCATTCGTAAATATATGTATACATACATTTGTATTCGTATTCGTATTCGCATTCACATTCGTTTCTACTTCTTTTCATATACTAACACGAATTCCTCTTTGCATTCGTATTCACATTTATATTCGTATTTGCATATATTTTGCGTATATTTGTATGCGTTTTTGTATTCGTATTCCTATTCATATATGCATTCGTGTTTGTATTCATATTCGCATTCGCATTTGCATTCGTATTGGTACTGCTATTGTATTTGAATTTATATTCGTATTCACATTCGTATTCCTTTTCGACTTCTAACTCGAATTCATATTTGCATTCGTATTCGTACTCATATTCATATTCGTATTTGTATTTGTATTCGTATTCCAAATCACATTCGAATGCGAGTTCGTATTTGTATTCGTATTCCCATTCATATACGCATTCGTATTTGTGGTCATATTCGAATTTGCATTCGTGTTGCTATTTGAATTCGTATTCATATTCTCATTCGTATTTGAATTCGCATTCGTATGGCTATTCGTATTCGTATTGGTATGGTTATTCATATTCCTATTTGGACTCGTGTTTTTATGTATTCGTATTCGTATTGCCATCTGCATTTGTATTTGTACTCGAATTCGTAGTCCCATTCATTTGCGAATTCGAAATCCTGCTCAAACCTGCGTTAGTATTCTTATATAAAACAACAACAGTTCCACGAAGAACATTGATCTGTGGCTTTAGCTTGGTTAGGTATTGTAACTTAATAAATGCCCTGAAGGGTTTGCAAAAATTATAATGTTAAAAGACTTGGTATAATTTTAATATTTATAAACTCAGGATAAGTTTTAAACAAAAGTAAAAACAAACCTTAATCGCTAATCCTTATGGAATTCAATTACTTTTTTATACCCGAGCGCACTTGTGCACAAGGGTATATTAATTTTGTTCACATAACGGTTGTTTGTAACAGCCAAAACGAATCGAGATAGATATAGACAAATGTATACATAAATGATCAGGATGAAAAAAGAAATCGATTAAGCCATGTCTGTCTGTCCGTCCGTCTGTCCGTCTGTCCGTCTGTCCGTCTGTCCGTGTACACGATAACTCGAGCAAAAATTGAGATATCTCAACGAAATTTGGTATGTAGGTTTCCCTTAATCCAAGGTAGGTTGGTATTGAAAATGGGCGAAATCGGACTTTAACCACGCCCACTTCCCATATAACGGTAATTTCCAGAAATACGAAAACTGCGATATTTTAGTAACTACTGAAGATAATTCACTCAAAATTGATATTTACAATAATTTTTAGGCGAAAAATAAGAATATTGTAAATTTTTGGAAAATGGGCGTAGCCACGCCCACTTATGGTTACATGTGTATATCTTGGTAACCGCTGCACCAATTTCTTCCAAACTTGGCACAGTTGTTGGCCTTCGCAAAACATACCTAATGGCCGAAAATTTTTAAAATCGCTCAATAACCACGCCTACTTCCCATATAACGGTAATTTTCAGAAAAACGAAAACTGCGATATTTTAGTAACTACTGGAGATTATTCACTCAAAATTGATATTTATAATAAGTTTTAGACGAAAAATAAGAATATTACAAAATTTTGGCAAATGGGCGTAGCCACGCCCACTTATGGTTACATGTGTATATCTTGGTAACCGCTACACCGATTTCTTCCAAACTTGGCACAGTTGTTGGTCCTGGTACAACATACCAAATGGCCGAAAATTTCTAAAATCGGACAATAACCACGCCCACATCCCATATAACGGTAATTTCGAGAAATACAAAATCTTCGATAAATCAGTAAATATTGAAGCTAATTTATTCAAAATTGATGGTTGCAACAATTCTTTACCAAGAAATACGTTTATAACAAAATTTTGGAAAATGGGCGTAGCACCGCCCACTTGTGATATGTATCTCGCTAGCCGTTCTAGCAATTTGTACCAAGCTCGGTATGGTTATTGTGCTTGCCACATAAAAGCAAACCGTTGAAAATTGTTGAAATCGGACTAAAATTGAGGCCGCTTTTCATATAACGGTAAATTTCAAAAATGCTTGAAATTTCAATATTTCGAAATTTAAGGACGCTAATTTACTTAAAATGTATACATCCCGGCTTATCATGTAGCGGTAGCTTTCGGAAAGGTGGAAAACATATATTTAATACTTGCGCCGGGTATTTAATGTTCGGCTCCGCCCGAACTTAGACTTTCTTACTTGTTTTTATTTCAAATTGCTAC